GAATGGTTTTGTTGCAAAATATGATGGGTGACTGCTGATTTTTCAGGTCTTCCATATTTTAAGTGTGCTATATGTTCCTTATATCTCACTTGAATAGATCTTTTTGTCTGTCCATAATATTTTGCAGTCCCTACATTCAATTCCGTAAATTCTAGACTTATCCGAATTCTCTACTTTGTCTTTTGGACTTCCCAAAAGGATCTGTGGTGTATGACTTGTTTTAAAAACCACCTTCATACCTAGCTCCTTGAAAATCTTTCCAAAGTTCTTCGTATATTGGTGGTATGGAACTGAGATGTATTTATCTTGGTTTTTGTCCTTTCTGAAAGTCGAGATTTCGTTTCTTCTCAACCTAAACTTCTTCCTTATTATGTCATTTACAATACCCCTCGAGAAACCGTTAGTGGCTGTTATTTCCTGTATTGTACCTATCATGTGTTTGAGGGAAAGTCAAATGACGATGCACCAAAAAATTCAATCCAGCACGTTTGTGCTGATTTGATGATTTGATAAAACGATAGAAATATAACAAAAATTATAAACATTTTTTTGTCAAAATGTCATGATAAAACTCTTTCGAAGCTAAATCTGCCAACAGTATAACGGAAAATATTATTTCGGGGTTGTTCCCTATCGCTTTCTTTCCTGTCACTTCAAGAGATGCAGGCCTATTGATCTCTCCCTTCGAAGAAGGGGAATATCATGGCTGCTGGAAGATGAATGCATCGTTATGCGCTAGTAATCTAACAGAAGGGTCTGAAGGCCGACAAACTCCCCTAAACGGAATTTCATTGATGACTCTATGCTCTGCAGTAAATTCCAACTTTATAGTTGTACAACTGAGCGAGTCTTCCTTTTCTTACAGATGTTGAAAACTTTTTGAGATTATTTTCAGTTCAGAAGCAATCATTGAATACTGTTCAGCAACCTAAATTTACTTAGTGAATGTGTGCATTGAAAGATTTAATCTATATAATTATAGTTTATGAGGTTGCACTGGATACAATCGAACGTTAAAATTCTAACACTGTATTTTTGAATGGCATAACTCTGAAGTAGACTTTTTGTATGGCATGATGATGGAAAAAACTTTTGTGGCTTGTTACTTTCCCCATCAATAAGTAAAAAATGGGAAACTTTAAAATAACGGAAGAAAAAATGAATGTAGGACCTCTTTAATCCGAACACCACTTTGCAAGGCATTGTTCGTTTTAACGAGTCGTTCGGAAAATCGGGGACACGAACATCTGCATATCTACTACAATATCACTCGCAAATTGTATTAACTTTATTTTATGTTATTCAGTGGTACACATTATTAGGAAAAGAAAATAATATGTAACTAAAATTTCAATTGTATTCTCAACTACTAATGTGCATACATTGTATATGAAGCCACAAAAACTATTCTTCTAGTAATTGTATATGTATTTTGAAATACGCTAAAAACAATATAATTTTTATTCATAGTATGTATTGTTNGGACCGATTCCTCTGTGAGCTGACTATTTATAGGTCATTCGACTACTTTCACTTATCTCTCTGCTTTCCTTCTTCAGCTTCACTGGTTTAGTGGAAAATTACTGTTTGTCGGGAGTTGGCCATTTTTCGCTTCCATATGTTGTGTATCTCTACGCTAGCTTGGCTGAATACATTGTTGGATATAATGTATGCGGCTCCTTTGAATTTTCTCCTAAACCAATGTTCCTCTTTGTGTATGATCTCAGCTTGGGACCATTCGATGTTTTGTTAATGGGTCCAAACATGCTCTGCTATTCCTGATTCGCTTTATAGTAATTGAAACTTTGATCAAGAAACTATTATTTTTTTTTCATTTCAGGGTGGCTATCCAGCAAAATTGAAAAAAGTCCTTATAGTAACGGCCCCTTTATGGTTCAAGGCGCCTTTTAAAATACTTCGGCTGTTCGTACGAGAAAAATTGAGGGAACGAGTATACACAGTATCGGTGGCGCAGCTGCCAAGTCACATACCTCGGGAATCCTTGCCCACTCAACTGGGAGGCTCCCTAGACCTGGACCATAATGAGTGGTTGTCACACTGCATACTGTCAATGACTAGCACAGGGCCTGAATCACCATTGTCGCATTATGGTAAGTAGTTACGTGTGGTATTCCACATTGGTTCGACATTCTATAATGTTTTTCTGAAGACTTGGCAGAAGTCATTGAGTTACCTGTTACCTGATCATCTTGAAATATTAAGAATAATAATATGATAGAAAGGTACATCACTGTTGTTACAAGCTGATTGGAATAATTCATTCCAAGGGTGTGACTGACATAAATCTATTCAAACTGAATTTAAAAAAAATTTTGAGATTAGCTTCACAAAGGCTACTTTTCTCATATCTGTCTCTGTATCTGTAGAGTAGGGAGGGAGAGTGTAATCCCACAGCACTTATACCACATGTGACCCATTGTACATCCTCCCGAGGAGTTGTCCTCCTAGGTCATCGTATCGCTATAACTATTTCTCAGCTCTTGATGCCCTATTTAATCTCCATGAAGAAAGTTGTAGCATCGCAAGCATTGTCATTGATTCAGTACAAGAAGTATGTGAATTCATACTCAAACTGGTGGCTTGGTACGAAATATTATTTCAAGTTAACATTGTTAGTAACAATCACAGCTATTGGGAAAGTTCTCAGAAACAGTTTAGGAGTTACTCGTCAACTGTAATAACAGCTAAGGAAATATCATCTCAGACGGGAATACAGGCTGTATTTGAGTAAGTCCTTTCTCGTAAAAAAGTTTTTTTTCAAGTACGAGAATACAAATGAGACACCAACATACCACGAAAGTCTTTGGAAAATTTACGGTTTTATTATATGTTTGATACAATCGAGATTGCTTTTATAGCTATCAAAATTCAGATTTTTTTTAATCGCTCCTGAACATTTGACGGTATCGCACAACAAACTGTTGTAAATTATGCCCGAAAGAAAATAACGCCGGACGCCACTGGTATCTATAAACCAATGGTGATGTAGCTAAGAGCGCGCGAGTGTACGATATTCCCTACCACTCTAGAAGTATCGAGAATAATGCTATCGATTTCGACGGAATTTCGTCGAAATTTACTAAGGCAATTTACTGTTTTCTGGTGAAAACAAGAAGTGTCAATTACGACGAGATGGAAAAGCTTAAGAAAATGTTCGAGGCTTTGCAAGCGGGCTTGATGAAGAATGAAAATCGCAAAAGAGAAAAAAATGAAGGCAAAATACAGAAAAATGAAAACGCAGAAGACAGAAAGATGAACGTAGAAGAGAAGAAGAACAATTACGCCGAAATTCCGTCGAAATCGGTAGCATTATTCTCGCTGCTTCTAGAGTGGTAGGTAACATTATACATTCGCGCGCTCTTAGCTACGTCACCATTGGTTTATGGCTACCAGTGGTGACCGGCGTTACCCCCTTCCCTGAGGTTGTTCGCCCCAAACAACATTCCAAGAGGGGACATTACGTCCCATGTAAGAACTCAGCCTTTCTATGTGGACAACTTTAGACTTGCTTCTGGGTGACAACTGGATTATGTACACCAGATCGTTTATCTTTTTGGTTCCCAAGTAAGGTCCTTGCCATGGTCTCTGCAACTTATGACACGTAAAAATACCAAAACATCCCGGAACGTTCCACAATATTCTTGCAACATTGAGGACCATTTGATGACTTTTTTGTTTTGGTAGGGCTCTTCCCTTGGTGGGAGTATATAAAGCAAGATAAGTCGACCTCTTATGATTGAAAGTTTTTCCTCTTATTCCAACTATTACAGATAATAAGAAAAAATGTTTTTGTGATTAAGTTGCTTGTATGAAGTTACCTGTGTGCGGCTGGCCTAACTTATCCTATTTATATAAAATAGGGTGAAATTTTCACTTTCAGTTTTACAGTAATAATTTCATAATTACGTGAGAAACTTCCCGGATAGTTACTCCCTGAGTTATAGAGAATGGTTTATAAACGAGTTAAGAAAGTTTTATTTGGAATAGAACTTTTATCTATGTTTACAGTTGTCACGTCACACTTCGCAATTTCCAGATTTTGGGTAGTCGGATATGAATGAAATTGCCAAATGACTAACAAAACGGTTCGAAACTCTTGATTTCACAGTCAAATTGATGTGTGGTTAGTTCGCACGAATGCATTGATAAAAAAATAAAGATATAAGAGAAAGAGACATTTTAGTGTCATTTCTGATACCTAGAACGTAAAACGGTTTTCGGTAAACTTTTAGTTCAACAATTGTTTCTATATACAGTGCTAGTCAAAAGTCCCCTCCCCCCCTCGTATCTTTTGAACGGGTATACTTATAATAGTGAAATTTGGAGTGTGGAAATAAACGGATGTAGGCTTCTTAACTGGTCATAACAAGTGACGCAATAGTCATAAATGACGTCACAAGGCCACTGTGACCAAAAATTTTAAATGGGACCCTATGGCAAGTGACAGCTCGTTTGAAAGGTATTGAAAATACCTATTCAGTCATACCAATTTTGTTTGGGTTTCGGCTGATTTTGATTGATAAATTGAAGAAATACGAAAA